GTGGAGTGAACCACTGCTTGCTGTGATGAATACGGAGTCAAACGGAAACTGCTATATAGAGCGAACAACTAAGTGAGGAAGGAAGAGAGTTACAGAGGAACAGAAGCTTATATACAGGCTGCCAGCAGCACGCACGTGCCGTGCTGCTACACGTGATCTGCCCCCAATTCCTCCAACTCCGTAACAATAGAGCTCCTAGTTATATTAGGCCGCCTTAACCTTTAGTACCTTCCTAGTATATTATATCCGATTAAGCGCTTTCGAAATAGTTAATTAAGTAACCCTAATACTTTATACCTTGTATAAGAACTCGGCGATTTCGTCCTAGTAAAACTAAGGCCGTACGTCTAAAAGAAGCTTAATTATAATAAGTATTTCGTAGGTTATAATATACTTTAGACCTCCTATAGGAACCTTAGGAGGAATATTATATTCGACAAGCTTCTTGTACCTATATATCGTTTGTTCCGTAGTACTATAGTTCTAAGTAAGTTGTTTTATAAAGCGATAGTCGACCTTGTCCTCGTACTCTCGTAGCTACGCGTAGATTTAGGTAACTATCTCTGTAACCGTGTGGAGTGAACCACTGCTTGCTGTGATGAATACGGAGTCAAACGGAAACTGCTGTATTGAGCGAACAACAAAGTGAGGAAGGAAGAGAGTTCCAGAGGAACGAGAGCTTAAATACAGGATGCCAGCAGCGCGCACGTGACACATACTACATGCTGCGCTACACGTGATCAACCCCTAGTTCCTCCAACTCCGTAACAGTACCCCCCCTCTTAAAGAAGGTCGTCCTCGACCGAGTATCCATAATTAAGTTACCATCTAAATCATCATAATCGTCCCTTCCACCTTCCCAAGCACTTAACCAGTCATATAAGCGAGCTGGCGGGCCAGGTCGAGTTGGGTTAGTTAGGTGGAAGTCTCTTACTTTGTGAGGGGCGTATTTACAGTCAGATGCCGGGTACCACTGTAGGTCTTCGTCTTGGTTTAGCCATTTAACACGGTAGTAGAGGTATTGCCGTCCTTTACTTGCAAGGATCTCTTGAATTTCCCACTCATCGTCGCCTGTAATGTTGACAGGCGGTGGCTCTGGATTACTTTGGCCTGGTAAAGGATTCTGGGAAGCCTTACGCAATCTATCAGGGGAGAAGACTGGATGGATTTTCATTGAATCAGGTAGTTGGAGCTTGAAAGCGTTGCCTACTTGCTGGATAATTTTGTATGGGCCAGCCTCTGGAAAGTCGAGCTTGCGGCTAGGCCTCTCTGTGCGCAAGTGTTTTTTTGCAAGCCAGACAAAGTCTCCTACACTAAAATCCACCAGGCGACGATGTTTGTCAGCGGAGGTTTTCATGCGCTCGTGAGTTAAAGAGAGCCCTCTTTTCGCAGCCTCCTGTGCATCCTTCATGCGATTAGCAAGCGCTCTTGCCTTCTCTACGCTTATTCGGTCGGATGGGGCTGTAACAGGTGTATCCCAGTCAAAAGACGTACGAGCCGGGTATCCGTATAGTACTTCGAATGGGCTCATTTGGCTAAGCGAGTCATGTGGTAGCGTGAGCTGGGCATAGTCCATCATAGGCAGTAGCTCTGCCCAATTGTCTTGGTAGTAGCTAACAAATGGGCGTAACCTTTGTTCCAGGTACTGGTTCATGATTTCGGTCTGTCCGTCTGTCTGTGGGTGGTGGGCGGTAGAAAGCTTAAGCTGAGTTCCAAGTACACGGTTAAGCTCTTTCCAGAAGGCTGAGATAAACTGAGGTCCACGGTCTGAAACAATTGACTCAGCAGCACCATAGTAGCGATACACGTGACAGATGTAGAGCCTGGCCATATCTTCTGCTGTAACTGTCTTATAGCAGGGAACGGATATAGCCTGTTTTGAGAGTCGGTCGACTACTACAAATACGTTGTCGTACCCTGATTTGTCCTCTGGAAAGCTACAAAAGTCCATTGTAATATGCTGCCAGGGGCGGTCTGGAACAGGGAGTGGTTGAAGTAGTCCCGGTATCTTGTCCCGTGGGCTACTCGAGCGGCGGCAGTCATGACAGTTCTGACAATATTGTTGAATGTCCTTCCACATGCCTTTCCAGTAGTAGCGTACGGCTAGCATTTTGTGGGTTTTCTGACGTCCTGGGTGAGCGGTAGAGACTTGGTTGTGAGCCTCGCGTATTAAGTACGTACGCAAGTTCTGGAAGTCAGGAACTATAAGACGGTCGTGGTATAGTAACAGTCCATTTTCTAGGGCAAAGGGACCCTCTACGTCAGCTTCTGCTTGTTGGCGAACAGCTGTAAGTGACTCAGAAGTACGGTTTGCGGTTAGAATTCGGTCGATTATCGACGTTCCGGGGGAAAGAGAGGTTATGTCTAGGGAGTTGATTTGAGCCTGGCTAGTAGAAGTAGAGTCCGGGCGTAAAATCAGAGGATCAATCTGGTCATTTCGGAGTAGTTGACGTAGCCGGTCAGCCTTCTTTACTGAATCCTGGGCCTCTGTTTCCTCTGTTCGCCTAGTTAGGGCATCTGCGCGTGTGTTCTCTTTAGCAGGGCGATATTTAATGATAAAGTGGTATTCTGCTAAAGCTTCGGCCCAGCGAGCTTGGCGCGCGTTTAGGTTCTTGGAGGTCATAAAGTACTCAAGGGCCTTGTGGTCTGTGTAAATCTGGATGCGCTGAGTTGTACGTTCGAGCTCTGGCCTCCATTCCTTCAAGGATTTAACAATAGCTAGCATTTCCTTGTCGTGGATTTCGTAATTACACTCTGCTGGGGCCATAGTCTTTGAGAAGTAGGCTACAGGCAACCACTGTAGATCTAGCTCAGCTAAATCAACTAACTCGCCTAAGAAGGAGTCTTCTCTTAGGCGCTTCCATTTCCCGACAGCTCGTCTTCTTCTACATCGCTGTCACCTTCTTGTTCCACGATCTCATTTAAGTCTGCGTCTCGTTTAGGATGTGGGCACTCAGGGCGGATGTGGCCTGGTTTTCCACAATTATAACATGTAAAGGCAGCAGGGGCTGGTGTAGTAGTCTCTCGTCGTTCTACGCTTTGCTTTGTAGGCGTTGGGGTAGAATAGCGGGGTAAGAGAGGTGCTGTGTTCGTCCTGACTTGTGGTATAGTCGGAAGCAAGGAAGGGACAATAGAACGTTTGAACTTTGTACGAGTCCTGGCTTCCTGAGCTCTTGCTCTGTCTCGTTTGAGCCTTGCATCAGTTCCAGAGGTAAGGTCGGCAAATTCATTAAAGTCTTTAATCTTTTGTACCTCAATGCGCATTTCGTCTTGTAGAGGCTTTGTGAGCTTGTCGTATAGGTCGTCCTTCCATTCTGATTTTGCGATCTTGCCACGAGTGGCGTGTTGTAAAAAGTTGAGTTTAAAGTCAAAGAATGACTCGTCAGATTCCATGGTAAGGCTCTTATATGCCTCCCTGGCATCAGCTTTTTCATGAGGGTTACGGAAGCTGGTAATCAGGTACTCAACCATGGATTCCCAATCTGGAAAAGCATCCTCAGGGTCGTCTTCCGCTGCCATAGCTGTCTCAAGCAAGGTAGCGGCTTTCCCTGCAGTACAAGCAAAGACATGTGTCTTCTTGTCTAATTCAGTGACGAAGTGGTCTGCATTCGCCGTAAGCTTGCTTTTGATTAGTACCTGCCACTGAACCAAGGATGGGTTAACACCATTGTCCAATTGAGGTACATCCTTGACTTTAGCACTAAGCTTTGCATTCTTCCAGGGGGAACTTGAGTAGCGCTGGTGCGTACTAGATTGACGTTGGTGCGCGCTAATATGCGGCGATCCCTGGGCTAAACTTGGCTGGCGTGAACGTCCGGCAATTGTTTTGCCCTTCTCAATAGTAGGAATAGGTTCATTTGAAGAAGTTGTGTTACGTGTCTGAAGCGAAGCACGTAGCTCTACATTCTCTTGGCTAAGTGATTCGAGCCTGGCCATGATATTTTCGTACTGAGTGGGGGTAATTGGTGGCGGCGAGAGAGTTAAGCTTCCAGTTCTCTGGCGCCTTTGGAATTGTTCTTCTAGAAGGGATTCGTCATCCATTTGTTGGACAACAATTGTAGCTTCAGCGGATTGTGAGGGCGTGTGAGCAGGGGAGGTTCTACCTCTACCTCTGCCCCTGTTAGCACGTCTTCCGCGAGCATTTGAGGGGGTTGGTGATGCCATCGTTCAGGGACATATAACGCGGCTGCGTTCAGGGATGTATAACGTGGTGATACTGAGGATGATGTCGAGTCGGAATTAAGTCGTCGAATCGATTATCGTCAGCCAAAAACAAATAAACAAAGTGGGATATTATAACAGGCCTTCCCAGGCGAAGAGGTGACTTTGTTGTAATGTAACCGTGTGGAGTGAACCACTGCTTGCTGTGATGAATACGGAGTCAAACGGAAACTGCTGTATTGAGCGAACAACAAAGTGAGGAAGGAAGAGAGTTCCAGAGGAACGAGAGCTTAAATACAGGATGCCAGCAGCGCGCACGTGACACATACTACATGCTGCGCTACACGTGATCAACCCCTAGTTCCTCCAACTCCGTAACAATCTCTAGCGTAAGGTATAGAGGTATAGTATTAACTATTTAAGTTAGGTATTAAAACTCTAATATATTCCGAGTATTTTAAGCTACTCACTATGTTATTTAAATGTGTTGTTATTTTGTTATATATAGAGGGGCATATATATAGGTGCAGGTGGTAGAGTTGGTCGGACTTTTTTTTAGTGTTCCTAAAAATCACCTTTTTGATACAGGTTACGAATATCGCTGCAACCTTGAATCTGGTTCTTTTCAAAAACGTTTTGGGCCATCATCTCTATACCTTCATGATGGGGCACAGCCGCCAATGTCTGGGGGAGGTCCTGATTGATCACACGCCCGCGAAAATGCTTTGCAGTTGCGTCGCGAAATGCTACACATTGAGAAGCATGTCCACCTCCAATATCAACAAAGAGCGACGTACTATCGTCATCATCTACCCCCTTGAGCTTTTCAATTACAGGCACTACTGTTGTCCACGATATGGGGCTTTCGAATGCAGCCATAGATTACTGGAAGTACCGGATCGTTTCTGCATCTTGCTGTAAGAATATAAAGAAAGGTAACTTCGTGTCATAGGCTCGGTGGAAGAAGGTATCGGTAGTCTGGTCAGGGTTCTGGTTTTGATCTCTTTAAGCAACTTCGGTAGCTCTTGAAAGGCCTTGTTAAGAATGTTGCAACCAAACATCAGATTTCCCCAACCCACCGGGGAAGCTAGCAGCTTAGTAGCGTCGTTAGCCGCGAAAGTCGATTCCCCAACTTCGTTTATCGTGTAAGTTGCGGCAAGGTGTCGTAGAATTCGATCTAGCTAGGATAAGTAATAAGATATGGGAGTAAAATGGAGTCTACAGACCAAGAAGTAAAGGGTCAGCGCCTGTTTTGACAGCAATGTCCCCCACCTTCAGCGCCCCTTCGCTTTGAGCTAGAATAGTAAAAATATCAAGATAAGCAGCAATTCTAGCTACTAACTGCTCTGTGAAAATATAGCCGTAATGCTGCATAATCTGTTCTGGGGTTGCAATCGAATGTGCCAGACTTTGAAGCTGCATACTGAGCTTGAATCGAAGTGACAAGTCGGCGGTCTTGGCGGCATCCCTAATCTGGGAAATTAGGGACTCAATGTCTGTCATTTTGGATGCTGGTTAAACTTTCTGGCGAAGAGGATTTTAATAACAAGGTTAGAAGGTCAAGTTCAAGCACTTGAATTCGAACGGTTAACCTTGAAAGCTGAAATTAGCGTTGGTCCAAATCCCAACTTCCAACTCCCATATATCCAACGGTCTTTTACTAGTATAGCAGGTCAACATTGTCACTGGCAAGGCACAGGTGTCTATTTAGCTAAGCTCCAAAAAGGAAGGTAGCAAGCTGCTGCAGGTGCTTCATATCTTATCGTATGGGGAATGCAAACTGAGAACCAACTCATAGAGGTGGCACATGGTATCATAGACGACAGGCATTATGCGGGTAGAGCGTAAAGCCGTGAATTGACTCTTGTTCAAGAGAGAATTGTTAATTTTGCCTGTAGCGTGAGCATAGACCTTTTAACTTCTAGTACTCCTAGCTAGACAAAAGTATCTAGAGTAGCATCTTCTGTTTTATTGAGAGTTTCTTGGTTCACAAGAAATAAGAGAGCGTGTTCATACTTACTTAGATCCAAAGAAGCTTTAGACTGTTGAGAGATAGTATCTGATTGATGAACACAATCGTTTAGTTTGAGAGTTATTGATGTTGTAAAACATGACCAATGAGAATTATGGAACTGGAGAATGATTACCACTTTCAATACTTGCTGGATACAACCCTGGCTTCAAGGTTCTCACGAATACGTTTAAACTTGGTAACAGCCAATGAATGCCTTAGACATCTGGTTGTGCCGTGCGCCTTGATTCTATCTTTTCCATTCGCTTATAATTAGCATCTCACCAGAAGGAGGGGGGCGGGCGACTGCATGATAACTGCATGAGAATATTTCCCATGATGCGGCGCAGTCTTATCCAACTGCTTCCATGTAAAGTGCCCCATTCAAGACAGCATGTGAGAGCTTGCATTTCGTTCATGGGGTAAAAATGAACCTCCCAGTAAGTATGTGAGATTAGTTCAGGACGCTACAGGAGCGCATTCGGATTAAGGAGTTTTATCACATGCCCCTCAGTAAATGAGTATTAAATTACAATGCTGGTTGAACAAGAAATTGACCGCGATTGTTGTGCAATAAATACATCACTCCATATCTCATTGTGGCTTCACTTTACCAAAGCTGAGTTTTACGCCTCAAGGTAGAAATGTTTATTAGCTCTTCAGAAAATGAATGAATTTGTGACAGGTGGTGACTCAGTAATGCAAACCTGCAATGTTTTGCTCCTTTACTATGATAATGAGTCCCAAACTGGTACTAAGTCATGCACGGCTCATTGGCAGGCAGGGAAGAAAATTTGGGAAGGAAAAGCATAAGGGAACAGTTTCTAACGGAAAAAATAAAAGTAGGAGAAAGGACTTTCGTCCGTTCTTTCCTCAAAGGAACTCTTGTTTTGAGAAAAGCGTTGCGACTTGAATCCAGTTGCGTGAACAAGAATAGGGATAAGGTTGGTTGAGGTCTTGAGGTCGCTCCTACCTCTCACAGCTCAACGGCTTAACCCCAAAGCCTCAGCTCAACCAAGGCGACGCGACACAAGAATCATATTGGACTTGAGTTTGTTCTTTCAACCTAGGTCCCTCTAGGTCCCTCTAGGGTTGTCGGTCTTCGCTTAGCCCACAACGCCAAGACCAGAGGAGACACAGAGGGAAGACACTACCATCTGTGGCCAGAATATAGACCCCTTCCCCCATGGCCCTCCTCAAACGCATAGATACAAACCTTTCATGGTAAATCCATGGTTTTGAGGGTGAATGGAGAATTTCAATTAAGGGTTTTGTGCTTTGGTTTTTTTTTTTTTTGTATGTAGTGGTCGCTTTTTTGTGACCGCAATCTTTCTCTTTGTCTTAAGGTTACAACACTGTGTGTGGATTGTGGATTCAGATATTATGTTATAGTAATGATGGTTCTCGCTTATATAGAAAATGTGGGTATTGCTTTAGTTATGTTTTAGGTGCAGTTGTGCACGGTAGAGGATATTATACCAATAGTAGAACTTCCAAAGTTGATTGAATGGTAAAATGTTACCTGGTCTCTATTACCATTACCCCCACTTAGTATACAGCGTGGTTATAGGAAAATATTGAGTAGTATTGAGGTAAGGATGTGCTTAGCAACGCCCAGATTGTGTTATGGCAATTCGCAATCTGTAATACGAATACTACTTCAATGTGGTAAGTGCTCAAAAGAATTACTGCTTTTCCTTGAGTTCACTTAGACGATGTCTTAAAAGGGGGGAGCTTGTTTATGCGATTTATAGAGTCTTTTAATTGAGAATTCACGGGTGGTTTGTCAGAGTGTTCTACCTGATTATAGCTATGTACACTAAAAGATCTTCACGAGTATCATGTAAGAGGCTACCCAACGGAGAATGTTTGTTCATGTGGTTATGGCTTGTACAGGAGAACCCAAGGCTGCCTGGACTAACGATCCTCAAATAATGGGTCTCTAGCAGTGACAAACACCAACTTCCATCCATCATACATCACGCACATCCATCACAATCACCCATCAATACCATCCTTCTTACATCCATCCACCCAACCTATCAAAAGGTCGACCCACAACACTCAACCTCACGATATCCAAACAAACAATCATGTCTTCATCATCGTCCCCCCCCCATCAAACAACATCACGAAAACCTGGCTCAATACCATAAATACCAGGCGGATGATTTGAAGAAAAGATCAGAGGCCAGTGGCGGTGCGAACAAGACGACGAATGCGTCAGCGAAGAATCAGGAGGCTAAGGATTATTTTTCGCCGCAGCATGGGAACAAGAAGGAACCACCAAAAAGAAGCACTCGTTGAGTGGCGATAGAAAGAGCAGCAGGAGGTGTATACAGAACCGCCAAATTTGAGGATATGAAAGTGTAAACAATGAAGATAGTGTTGAGGGGGGAGGAGACCTTTTTGTGGGTTTGAGTCCTATGGTATTTCGTTTGTGAAGGTGAATGGGAAGGACACTTGAGTACTACACTTCAATACGTGTATAGGACTCTATTCTGCCGCATCCATTCGGGAAAACGGGGCATGTCATTTAGCAAATACCTGAGTCATATTTGCGAATTCATATTATCAGCCATCAACCAGAAACATTGCATTAGTGATTTTTAATTTCTTCGTATTCCTACTTACTGAGAAAGGCCCCTTCAACGGCTTCTATAGAGATGAGCTTCTCATCCCCCAACCCTATTCTCCCCATAAATCTAACCTAACTCCCGGGTCGAAGGCTGCAACTCCGTCAATTGTATCTATGCGATTAAAAGAACAAACCAAGTCTTTCATCGGCTCGTAAGTGATTGAACCCTTCGATATGTTACACGCGAAGTATGTATCGCAGCAATGTTGGTGGGAGCCAGATTCTCGTGACGCAGCTGGTGATATTATTGGGTGAGTTTTGACATCGAAGAATATTAGAAGGAAAAGAACTTCTGTTTGGGATCGAAATGCCTTTATTGAGAGCGTAGAGAAAATGGGACTATTATTAGAGTAGCGTTACTAGATATGAGCACTGCGTTCATATTACTTCCCGTTCTGAAAACATGCTGTTGACAGCAATATATAAGTGGGGTGCCTGGAATGCCAGTTTGAAGTACTAATGAGAATTGTATTGAACGAGTTACTTTGATTAAAGTGAGAGCAGGAAACTATGGGCTATATATATAAAACCTGCTCCTTTGTACAACCTGTTTCGTGGTGGAAAGACCGGCCGGCATATTAGCTGACAACACATGCTTTCAACATTTTAGGCCTCCACCCCCATGGAAAATTGAAGAGCACCTTTGAATAATAAATAATTTTCGGTATATAAAGCAGTAGAAAGGAATAAGCGAAGATTTCTGGGCCATAATCATTATTCTCGCTTAACGCTTCAAGGATGGAAGTAAGCGAGCGACCCGAACCCAAAGTAAACAAGAGAAATAAATGAGGCAGAAACACTACTTTGACAATAACAGAAAGCCGCAAAATATCAAAGCACCCCGGAATTCAAACCTCCACATAAGGACTAACACAGATTTCCCCTTTTGCTTTAATGCCTACCGTATCATTTCAAGAGAGTGCGGATTCAACCTGACGACTTTCGTCAGTGTGTGCTTCTACATTGCTTCTGACTTGATTTTGCGATAATATTCTGCCATGACGTCCCTTACCCAATGTCTCCTGGGTTCATATGAGCTCAGAGATCTTTGGTGAATAGTGGTAGCCAAGTCGGGATAACCATATTTCAGGGCGACTTCCGCTGGCGTCAGCCCCTCGGAGTCTTTTTGAGATACGTCAGATCCATAGTCTATCAACAGATAAGACACTTCCTGGTCTCCGAGTTGACATGCGATATGAAGAGCAGTTTGCTCGCTCGCTACTGTAATGTTCGGGTCTGCTCCTGCTTCGAGAAGCAGTTGCATGGCGAAAATATTTTTGCATTGTACTGCAATAGCAAGTGGTGTCAAGTTTCCGTTATTCTTGACATTGAAAGAGTTTTCCTTCCTCATAGACTTGCAGAAAGATTTTCAAATGAAGCAGTGATGTATCTGAATGTGGTCCCAAAAAATGGTGTAGTGGGGTGTTCCCAATTGCATCTTGAGAGGAGGGTTTTTCGTATGTTGTAGTGTCTCTCTGAGATATATACTCCCAAATCTGTTCCTTTTTTCTAGGCATCTCAACGACTTGCTGCTGCTCGAAACGGGATTCCCTGCTAAAAACTGTCCAAGAAAAGAAATCTGCCACTTTGGTATTTCCTGCCAGAATCGCGAAGCGCATAAGATCTGACACCCTGTCCATAAAGTTTTCTCGGTCTAAGGATTGGAGATAATCAATGATACTGTGACATCTCCAGAACAGCTCAAAAGTCTCGATCCCGACATGTTCAATGACTACGTCCAAAGGGGGAATGCCTTGATTGTCAGCCAAGGTAACGTTAGCTTTACGAGCTATTAATATGTCGAATACGCGCTTGCAAAGGCTCCTGTGAGCGAATGATAATTGATCGCCTTGGCTATAATACCACGACATCATGCGTAGGAAAGTTACTCCCCTTCGCGGCTTTAGCACAAAGGCTACGTCTAGATACTCGTTCGATTCCAGGATTGTACAAAAGCCTGTTAAATTCCGTGCCACAATGACGGAAGTAAGAGATTTTTGAATTATCTTTTTTGAAGTCTGTGGATTCTCTTCAAGCATCCGTATGACTGCACATAGTACTCTGAATAGTTTTACCTCATTGCTTTCCGGACCTTCGCGTAGAGTGCGGTTTAGTCGCTGGCCGTCGAAGCCAGGAAATATTTCCTCGAAGTTTGTTTCGAAGATCTGCGTCAACTGTTCCTCCTCTATCATTTCGTCTGGCTCCTTTGAAGCCAGAACGTGCAATAATAATTGGAAATATTTAAGATGGGCCTCTGGTTGTATATAGTATCCTAGGTGGGAGCCAATATGTTCTGTAACGGCCAAGGCCAGGGAAGACATGTCGCGGCCTACGTCCATGATATAAGAAATGTCCTCTAAAGAGAAAGTATAGCCCCAATCTAACAAGATTTTGACTGGCGATGGTGATCCACGTATTGGATTATAAAGGTACAGCGCAACTACTAAGACCGATACTGGGCCATCTTCAAATTCAAGCTGCGTCTTCACGGCACCAGCCTCAAGAAGTAACTCAGCGGTTTCGATCTTGGGGGATGCATCAAAGTCTTGCAGACATGAGCTGCGATGATGCCTCATTAATGAACTCCTGGCCGTCACTGCTTCAGGAATTCCCAAAAGCGCATGAAACAATGGCGTCCCGCACCCAGGATCTTGGTTGACATCTGCAAAATCTAGAATAAGGTTTTGGCAAATATGAGATAACCCAAGAGATGCAGCCCAGTGTAAAGGCGATGCTTTATCCGAGACATAATCTGGGGACACCTCGGTACTACCTATGTTTGACGCATATCTGTGGCTTAGTCTTGTATATGATAGGAGCGTCCATAAGCGAAACTGGGGTTTCTCTGATATAAACAACTCCAAAGCACTCTCTTCAATTTCACGAGATGTGGACCTCAAAACGTACAGATGCCAATAATGGGCAGCATGTAGGAAAAATGGGAACATCTTCTCGAATTCGACCCATGGCACACAGGAGTCAACAGTGACATTCTCCATTGAGGCCCATATAATAGGATCGACTGATGAAATATGTAGTGTGTCAAAAAGCTCGCATCTCAAAAAGCCGATACTCACTTCTGCTAGTATAGTATGGCCATTGGATAGTCGATATTCCGATAGATCAGGGGTTTCGTCCGGATTGATGGCAAGTAGGAACTCCTTCACGGTGAAATGGGCCAGTTCCAATCTTGAGGATAGTCTGTTTCTTCGAACCAAGCTGCTGCACCAGTTTAAAAGCTCTTCCTCGGTTGTCATTGCACTGGAATCGAAAGATCTTTCCCCCTTATTTACTGCAAGTGCCTGTAACAGCTGGGTAGTAGTAAGAGGTTCATTTGCGTATACAATCCTGTTCAGCGTCCTTAGCACGAGGACCTGGTTTTGTTTACTGCTCCTATTTACCCGCTCCAGAACCCGCTCATATGAGCTTGGAAGATCAGGTGGAAGTTTAGTTAGAGCTTCACGGCGTTCTCGGTCGTTGGAGCATTCGCACAGATAATCCATCTGGCACGACACCCACCGGAACCTACAATCTAATTAGCAGCTATACATACTTCTAATAATAGATGGAAAGTCATGGCTTACGTTCCATCAGCACCTTCGGAAAGAACTTTCATGATGTGTTCCTTGAGACTAAGATCTTTGGTATTCAGCCTTCATTCCCTAGTACGTCTTTCAATCTCCGAAGTGACGTATAAACGCAAGTCTGAGCTATTTGTGGCAATGCTGACTTGTGAAAAACCTTCAAGCTCATAACCAATGTCAATTTCTGGACGGCTCGCAAACAAGGTTTTGATTGTATTGGAACGATCATTGAGTGACTTTAGATGCCGGGTAATGCCAGCCCGATTGTTGGATATCTCATCCAGCCCATCTACAATAATCATTGCCATTCGAAATCGAGTTGAAACCAGAGAAATGAGGTCGCAAAGATCTTCCACTGTAGGACTTCGGATAGAGCCATCTTTTTCATGGTCATTATCGTAGAATTGTTTCAGATCTTCAAAGCATTCTTCGTTCTGTGCAATCAATTGCCGTGCTAAAGCACCAAGAATTTCCAGTGGCTCATGCGTTTTGGAATTCTTGTAATCGCAATAAAAGAAAGCCAGTCCTATAGAATATGTTAGATCACATCTTGTAGAGAATACTGTACGACCCGTACCGTTGGAACTATTGGTTATCTTTTCCAGTTCTTGTATCACCGAAGCTCTTAGTTAAATCAGTATTATACTTCTGTTTCAAGTGCTGAAACTTACACAATAACAGTCTTGCCTGCGCCGGCTGTCATACTATATTAGCGAAACTGCGAACAAGGTGCGCAACATTAAAATCCCCTACCGATCCCACAAATCCAAAGCTGTGATCGATCATCTATGACCCATTGTCTAAACTCAGGGCCTTCGGTAAACCAGATACCAGTTTGCGGTTGGCGAAGGCGTATGTTAGAGTCTTGCCATTTCCGTGCATCAGTGCTTCCGAGGAAGTTTGGGATCCTACGTCTTTCCTCATCTGACGATTTCATTCATATAAGCTTGAGATTCAATCTTCCCGATTGGGAATATCCACGAACCTATGATGATCTTTCTCCTCTTGGCTTGGGCTGACTTGAAATTCTCCCTCAGGCTCCGTATTCCTTCGTTCATCGAATCTTGTCTTGCTAATATTTTGATCATTGCTGACCTGTCCATCGAAATGTTAATCAGTGAAGTAGTTATGGTAACGGGTGCGGGACTTTACATTTTTGTTGCACTAATAGCCATTGACATTGTAGATTTATGTCGTTCCATCTCTTTCAATAATTCCTCGGTTTGCGATTGTTTCAGTGGCCAACAGATTTTATGGCGAACTTTCATCGGAGAAGGCGGCATTGCAACCAAAAGATTCTCTTGTATCTTTAATAGACTTTGGCAGCATGCTTCGATGTAATGCACTTGAGTTGTAGGGTCGAAACTGGCGCTTTCTTCATCCTCGTCCAGCAGCTGAGCTGTATTGTTGAGGCTATCAAGCACGCCCGAGAGCGCGTTGGACCTCCATCACCAGGGTCTTAACTGATGTATTGGCATCCTTCACAGCCTTGATAAATTTGTATCCCCTAGTCACAACAATTTCCGCGAGCGAGAGTAAGCCCGCAACGCTTGCAGCGATACCGACCTCTGCCATTTTGCTGCCGTGGAGTTGTCTTGTTCATCGTTAAGAAGAAGAAGAAGAAAAACAAGAACTTTCTACTATCAGGGAATTGAGGGGCTGAGCTCCGTGGCAAAATGCTGCGTTACGACCACAGGACCAATTGGAAATGCTTGTAATTTCATCTTGCAGTATGCAGATATTTGGTAGGAGCATTCCAACATACCCTAAACTAATGAAGCAAGTGGTCATGTGAACAGCTTATGTCATACCAGCCACTATATAATCCAGTTCCCCCTCCAGAGTTCTGGCAAAAAACAACCATTACCTCAATATATTCTTTTATACCATCATCATATCATCATCGATTTAACCCTGCTGCCTGATGAACAAATATCTACTACACAACGGCTTGGGGTACGGCTCCAATGCGGATTTGAAGAAAGACGAAACGAAGTTTGTCATTCTCAAAGTTCTCGATACAGAATGATTCCGATTCAAAAAGTGAGATATAGTTCACGTGACACATAGACATTCTTATAATAGAACGTCTGTAATACTTCCGTTACTCCGCCGCTGACAGGGCCGCAAAGGAGGGTGCTAGCCTACTAGCCTCTCAGGACAGCATCTGTTCTCTAGCGTCCCTAAAGCGGCTAGCAAAAACAGAGGCGACTAGAGCAACCTGAAGCCTCGCTGCTTCCAACAACCCAATAACTGTATTCACCAAAACTCCCTTCTCACACATGTATTTAGTACAGTTTCAGTTATCTGCTGGAGGGAAACCCCCAGCCGTGCTACCATAGTCTCAGACTCACACAGCACGTTAAAAGGAATAATAATAATAATAATAATAATAATAATAATGACTAGAGCAACCGCTAAACTCTGGTATACTACAGCCCCGCAACACTACCTTGACCTAATGGTCCCGTACGAAAAGAACAAAGACCTACTCTCAATAAACCGCGGAGCACTTGGACGAATCCTTGCAGCCCGTTCCCAGCACGGAGACTTTGCAGACTACCATACACGGTTCCACCACGAGGACGCTCTCTTAACCTGCTCTTGCGGAAGAAGAAAATCCCCGCTTCACTTCTACTTCTGCCTACTATTAAACTGTAAGAAGCTACACAAAGGACGCCCATCAATCGCAATCCCTTGGCTACTTGGAACTACCCAGGGCTCTATCAAACTAGCAAAGTGGTTTACAGACTCCAAGTTCTACCAAGAAGTGTGTATATCACATACACAAAGCTCTCCTACCTTATAAGGGAGCCCTCAAAAGTCTACTAGTTTCCTTTTACTCTTCTCTTTACTATTCTCTCATTTACTTTATTCCATTATCAGAGGCGGAGGCAGCGGCGAACAGGGGCTAGGATCACAGGCTGGAGGATCATGCTGCAAAGAGGTGGCAGCACTACTGTTTTACTTCCTCAAGCGGACAAAACAACAGCTAAAGCGTACATGTAAACCCCGCTACAGCCTTTAAACTCTTATATAATCTAGCTAGCTAGACAGGAAGCCAGGGGCCTCCCCCCCCTGGCGTCTTTTGCCCCAACGGGGACTGAAGGGCACGTGACTTGCGTACGTGCCCGCCTAGACGTTAAATAGACACACACACACACACACTTCCGTTACTCCTCTGACATCCTTCAAGTCCACAAAAGGCTCATTGTACTTGAGAAATCTCATCATATTACGTGGTATCGTCAGGATAATAAGCACGAGTCTTGTTTACCCAGGCAGTCAACGCACGAACCTTTTGCTCACAATAAGGAGATATGCATAAGAGTGTATGAAGAATTGATCTATGATTGCTTTTGGGCTCAAAGATCATCCAGGAAAAATGAATGAGCGATTTCTATTATCTCGTCACATAGCAAAGCCCTCTCACCACCAGCTCTTTATTCTGTTGTCCGAATATATTTTTACCCAAATCGGTCTTTCATCCTCCTCCCCAACTATCATATATTCATTGATATAGGGTTCAAAATTCTGACTGACTAGTCAAGTGAGGTTATCCTTCTGGAACATACTGCCTTGGCGGCCAAACCTGGATAGTATAAACGGACCATGCAGAACATATCCCACCTGTAAATCGCGTACAACCATCCACCCCCTAAATCTTTCCCTCCCTCTTCAAACTCTCAAAAATCGAGGCCGGCTTCTCCGCCCCACCCATCCACTCCAAATCTGGATCCGCCTTCCCCCTCGCTCTCTTAAACCCCTCTCTAGCTCTGACCCGTTCAAGGTACCCCAGAATGCCCTCAAAGCCCTTCAACTCAAAGCCAACAAACGTTCTCATGGTAGTAAGACTAAAGACAATCATGACATCCGCCGCGGTAAAATCCTCGCCAGCCAGCCAAGTATTCTTTTGAAGTCTCTCGTCGATGAGTTTCAAGAGGTCTTGAAGCCGGGCGACCATGGAGGAGGTTTGAGGGTTCGAAGGAGCGGTTATGGAAAGCATCAGTTGAAGGCCAAGGTGTGGCTGGAGGGTTCCATTGGTGAAGTGGAACCAGAATAGATATGAGGCGTAGTCTTTGTGTGTAGGTGGGAGGACCAGACGTCCCTTTCCGTATTTATCTGGAGACTTTGTTAGTTCATTGAGTTTCTCAATTGAATTTAATACGAATGCTTACGGATAATAAATTCCATACAAGCGGCACTTTCAAATAGTGTCAAATCCTCATCTTGAATAATTGGTGCTTGTCCGATAGGTGAGAGGTCCTTGATTGCTTTAGGTGCCAAAAGCGGTGCGCGTTGATGGAGAACTAGTTCATATGAAATTCCCAATTCCTCACATAGCCATGGAAGGCGTTCTGACTGAGAGACCTGGAGGTGGTGAACTTCCAAAGTCATAGTCGTCTTGCTATTCAAGGTTTTATTCTTATGGTTAGCTGTCGAGAAATGAGTGAGCAAGTGTGAGCCAGTTTGAGGACAAATTCCCCACGATTGTTATTTGTATTTTTTCATCGCTGTACCCCTCACAACCAAGCTGTGCTGGGCCGAAATCGCCGAGCAACTTCCGTAAGGTTAAAATTCAAATCTTATCTAGATCATGATGCTTAGAGCCATTGCTCGGGCCTCTCTTTCAGCAAGCGAAGCTTGTGTGGTTCAGTGGTTTCTAGCAGACGATACAAGTGCCCCTAACCAATTACTTCACTAGTTTCACCGCAGTTCATATTCTTACTCTCGGACAGAGTTGGAAATCCACGTTCCGTTTTGAGGAACACGTGATGGTTTAGCTTCGCAAAAGTTGTCAGGAAACGAAAAGCCTTGGATGAGATCATGCCGCGCCGATCAGAGTTTATAAATATGGGGAACCCCTCAAGCAAGTGCGGAGTTGTCGATGACAGCACGGGTGATTAGACCTGACTCTTGAGGTGACAACTGGCCCTAAATGCATATAGAAAGGTGGACAATTTCACGTAGTTCAAGTGTGATCCAAGTCTCTGTTTCTCTGGATTTGCTAAAAGTTAGCCCAAAGCTTTAATATAGACAGGCCACGCTCTTAACACAAGCTATCTACCCTCTTTACCTTTGACCAAATCACTACAAGTAATCTCTCCTGGCTTAATTAGGAGATTCTCAGTCGAACGTATTGGCTCTCCTAATGAAAGCTTCTATATACAACAACGTAACTATTTGTCGAGAGATGTGAATATTATCCAGTAAAAGGTGTATATATCAGAGTAGCGTAAGTTTCAAAGATACTACACGCAACTTTGCTAGCCATAACAGTGTCGGGAATTCCTGAATATTAAAATCGAATCACAATATGATTGCGATATATTACGGGAAGGAAATTCCCATCATGGTTATTTTGTCTCGTATCCTTCGCAAGTCTAACAGGTAAAAGAAAGATACTTCTAGACACACGCAAGATCAAACGGTCAACCCCTTTGCTATAATAAGAAGTCTTTCATAGAAATGTGAAGCTACACACTCAAGCAACGGAGCTCGTCTAAGCCACTACTTGATTAATCAATAACTATAGAAATACCACTTAATACATTTTCCACCACAGAAATACTATTTATATACCGCTAAATTATTTCATTACTACTTTTCATATAAATCAAACGAGAGTAAGACCATGGTATTTCTATCGCAATAGTATCTCTCTAGAAATAGTAGTAAGCCTTACTTCCATCCTTCACTACTGTCAGTATACGACGCAATTCATGGCAAACCCTCCTTGCTGATGTATGTATGCACTATACAGAACCCAGATTCCCTTTCTTGATACTAAGAAAACTTATACAAATGAAAGAAACCCCCCCTTAAAAGCATTCACTTAGAGGCGTCCCCTTTTTTAATATTAACGCTGTAGTTAGTAATACCATTTATCTAAATACCTAGCTCGCTTATTCCTGTCACCCTTATTATACCTCTTGTGACCGCAAGTAAAGCCTGTTACGTTAGTAAGATTAATCCTAGAAGTCTACCATCTATTTAAATCCGTAATCTAAGGTGTGTAGTATACCACACTTTTCAGAAACTACTACGTATAAAGCTTACAACACTCCCTACTATTCATGCTAGTATACTAGCCAAGTCATCTAGGGGAAGCAGTTTTATTAGGAAAATATTAATAAGGCAGTACCTAGTTGTAGAATAATTCCATTAAACCCATTCCTAACATCTTAACCCAACAATCCTCTAATCTCCATAACACCAGCTACTCAACCCTCTATACCACATACTGTCCACTGTGTAAATCCTACAGCAAATTATCTAACCCTTGAATAACACACTATACCATACTATACCATACCATACCCCAGTAAACAAACAGATCAACCCCAATAACCACCTAGATAAAGTAATCTTACAAAAAATCCTATATATATCCCCCTATATACTACCCCCTCCCCCTCCCTCTTCCCTCTTCCTACTTCTACCTAACCCAAGCCATAACACAAACCCATCCCACAGTACCCGCGATCCATCCGAAAACCGTAAACGCATTCGAATACTAAAAGAACCACCTTACTTATACGAGCCCCTAAACCCAAAATTCCTCTGCGGAGAAGTGGAGAAGTGGAGATAGGTAGCCGGAAGAGACTTTGCTAACTTCTTCGAAAGTGTTGTTACTATTATGTTAACTTATACCCCTTCGCTATCACTTAAATTATTCCTTTTCTCTCTATTCTCTCTATTCTCTCTATTCTATCTATTCTATCTATTCTATCTATTCTATGTATTCTATCTATTCTATCTATTCTATCTATTCTATCTATTCTATCTATTCTATCTATTCTATCTATTCCATCAATCCCATCAATCCTACCCATCTACCCTCCCCAACTTCCACCTCCACTTCCTTCCTAAGTATTCCTCCTATTTTTACACGAAGTTTTAATATATATACAATATAATACAATACAATCAGCTTTGAAGAAGAGGCGAGGTAAGTTAAATAGAGAAGGATTATTATTAGATTTCCAATAATCTTATTTCTAGTATCTTTATAGTCTAGGTCCAAGATGGCTAGAGACAAAGAGAGTTATATTCGTGATATAGTAAAGAGAAGAAATGAGTTACCGAGATTCCTAAGACGAGTTTTTTCCTTCCCTCCTACATTCCTCCATAAGGGTCCGACTTTCTCGGAAAGGACGGAATCGCTAGAAATTGACTAATCAAGTAGTGGTTTTCTTACCTAGTATGGATATTGATTCTTTGAGTATTAGATCTACGTGTAGCTTTACGGATCCAAATGACGTCGTTTTCTCATATACGTACGAATATGTAAAGGTGGGGAGGCCATATGCAATGTTATCTCCAAGATTCCAATCCCAGACCTGATTTTTGAGATTGATATCATCACGTGATACACCTCTGTGCAATAGGGTTCAATTTCCTCAGAAATAGAACATCCCAAAATGCACAAATAAACCCAAAAGCATCACCCAAAGTACTCCATCCCATCCGTCAATCAGGAAAAGAGCCGACTTGGCATCCCGTACAGTAAATTTACCTTCACATGTAAACTCTATACAGTACCCCTACCCCTCCCTCCAACCTTCAAGCAACATCTCTGCACCCTCACATCAGTGCCCAAACCTCAAGCTCCAAAGTCGCCAAAAAAGGATTCCCCTGCATGTTAACAAAGACTCAACAGTTCCATGTTAAGCATCGTCGTAGAAGGACGACGAACCAGATGCGAGGATGGGATGGGACGCGAGTGTCTTATCAGATTCGAGTTCCACGAGCTTGGGATGGGTGGGTATTGGTTAATTGTTAATGTGTGACTGGATGAGGAGACGTGCATTGATTGTTGATTGTCGGATGCAAAGGAGGGGATGCCATGGTGTGCACCGCGTTGGGTTTTTGGGTGTATGATAGGTACTGGAATTGGAAGAAGAATAGGCGAGGGTTTTTCTCGTACCCGGAGCGGAGCGGTTGGTTTGCATCCGGGGTTTTGGTTTAGCCATTTATACAAGTAGGAATGGGATGGATGGTGTTGAGGTTCGTTTTATGAAGGTGGATAGATGGATGGATTGGATTGTTTTTGCGGAATCGCCACTCCGAGGTCAATAATCACAGGTGAGTGAGGTCGGAAGGAAACTCGTGAATACTCCGTACGGATGCAAAATAAATGAAGCCATCAAAGTGACTGTTCGTACTGTAGCACCAGAGCAGGGACCAGAAGGGTGTCTGTCGTCGGCATTACCTTAATTGCCGGAGATTTCAGGGTCCTACAGTAGACTCGCTACAGTACAGTACTGGTAGCTGATGAGTTGCAAGGATGGAAGAGAAAACCTTAGTTTTCCAGATAGGGCATCTTCACATGCTAATTTGACGATCCCTCTTGTCCTTGTTCCTTGTGAAAGCAGAGGTGGACCGTGGCGTGGCTGGTGAGAAAAGAGAAAGCTATCGATGCAGCTTCCGGGAAGAGCAATCTTGTAGGGATCATAGAAGGTCTAGGTTTGGGAGCGAAGCTGGCAGGAGCTGGTGAGAGCTGCTTAGTGTCGTACATGAAAATGCGAACCTCGCACTTGCCGTAGGATATCATCATTAGTAGGTAAGTGCCTTGGCAGAAGACTGTGTAGACAGTGCAATTGAAATTGGCAAAGGGTGATGGAAGAGATGAAGGGCATCACCCCTGGTTTTTTGATGATCTGGTATCCATTCGTGCTATCCAGGAACTCATCATGTCATATAAATAACTCTGGATGCAGAGGTTCGAAAATCAACACGTACCCCTGCGGTAGAGATGAGCGATAAGCACATGTCAATTGAGGTTGGATCAGATTGGGAATACTGGTTGCCATGAGCAGAGATGAAGCATTCGATGCTTGGTAAGGATTGGGGAATTGGAATACATATGCAATTCTCGCACTGAATGAGTCTATCCCGATGAAATAGGGATTCGGTGCTGCTGAATTGACTTCTTCTGCGGAGGACGTAGGTTGATATTGACTTTCACATGCCAATGGCTCGTTCTTGCCTTGTTCAAGGTTGCCCGCAACCGCCCCACTATGATGACCAGCTCATGTGGCGTAACCTAAAGCTAGCACAGGGCAGCATCTCGCTGGGTTGCAATTGCCTTCGCCTTCGCATGATATTTGAAGAGAGAGGAATATGCTGAGTGCGTTGAATCTGGCAATTGGTTGTACTTTGCTGCAATGGTAGGTACGAAGAGACATCGCGAAAGGATGCAACCGCAGCGCTCAGGTTACGGTGGTATTGGCGGTGGTATTGGCGGTGGTTCTCATGGAAAAAGGCAATGCCATGCACCAGCAGCAAACGCAACGCTCCTGCCCCAGCACATGCAAAACAGTACAGCGTAACCGCACTCGCACTTGCCAGTCAATCCCAATCAACAAGCCCCGCCCAGGTGTGGCGTAAAATGCTTTGGTTGTGACGATGCCCTGGTCCGCCCGCTGCGCTGCGCTGCGCTGCCGCTGCTGCTGTCCAAGGGAAGTTCACTCAATAAAAGCTCCCACTCCCACATCACACCCCCTTCTCCTGCCAAACACACCTGCGTCTACATCTACACCTTCTGTCCACAAAAACACCATCATACCCCCCATTACAATCCCAAGACATCTGCCCTCATCAACCCGAGACCCCCATCTTCTTCAGACAGCCACCAACAACAACAACACCCAACTGTAAGTGCTTATCTCAGCCCTCCCACTCGATCCGTACCGATGCAGGTACTCGCATCCGGATCTCAGTTCCTAGCAAGGGATAAAAAGATTGACAGAAGACGATCATAGTTTCTATATGCCGCACTCTGAGTCTAAGCAGTCCACCACTCTCAACAAAATGTCCCCTCAAGTCAACGGCAACGCTGCTCCATCATCGGCCTTCCTCTCCGTAAGTACCAAACTATCCATACCCCGCCGTCACACGCAAGCATCATCCACAAACCGAGCATCCCACTGACAAGACCCCCACAGCACCTCTACTCCTACCCAGTCGTCAGTGATAGCATTACCACCTTCAAGAAGAACCCATACGGTGCCAAATCCATCGACCTCACATCCCAAGGTTACGAGAAGCTCGGCAAGCCCATCATCAATATCCTCGCTGGTCCTTACGAATATGTCTCTCCATATGTCAAGAAGGCTGATAGCATCGGTGACCACACTCTCTCCACCATCGATGAGAAGTTCCCTGTGGTAAAGAAGCCCACTGGCGAGTTGTACGAGAATGCACAATTCCTCGTTTTCTTTCCTTTGAAGAAGGGTAGCGAGGGCAAGGATTACGTTGTGAGCACATACAAAGGGGAGGTAAAGAAGGTTGGTGGTGACGGATTGGTTGCATATGGAACGGCAGCTTTGGGAACTAGCATCATCATCACCCGCGAAACCATCAACTGGCTCTCTCAATTTCTGAGCCAGAAGAAGACGCAAGCAAAGGAGGTTGCTCAAGAGAAGTCTGGTTAAATTTGACCAATTTGCCAGAGGGAGGATGATAGCCAGGGATGGATGAATGAGAAGGTGAAGAACGGAAAGAATTATGAACGATACCCCCACACACCTCAACAGATTCTTCTTTAATTGGGCTCGGTCATGATGGTGGTCAGGGAAATGGCAATGCAATGGATCATGGATCATGACTGGGATTAGGGAAGGAAAGGCGATCTTTTTAGAAGGGGGAAAAACGATATTTTGCGCGTCTTGCTTTTGTGTCACACGAGGACTTTTTCTTATTTTATTGTCTCTTAATAACGTATCATACAGAGAACACTTGCCTCTTCTTTCTTATCTTCGCCTGTCACATTACATTGGTCTTCCTTTCTTGCTTTTCAGGGCAAATTCGCCTCGCGTGATTTTGTATCCTTGATGTATGAGTATTCTTATGAGAATGTATTACAAGTAGTTTTTTGTGAAATGGCAAGATTGTGGTTTGTGTTTGAGATTCTATTTATAAATTTATATATATTTCAGTAGATTGTTATACTTCAAACCCCACATATCTCCATAAGCAGTTGCATGGCGGACAGCGGCGTTGTAGTACTGTACCTTGGTGATGTTGGCCTTTTACATAATTTCTTGCAGACCTATTATAGTACAATACACAGTTCCCATTGACAGTACACAACCTTTGACAGAGTACATAGAGGTGGATAGGTAGGTAGGTAGGTAGGTAGGTAGGTAGGTAGGTAGGTAGGTACGAGTTTGTATATCCCATTTAGATATCTAGCTAGATAACGAGATATATACTGGTAACTGGTTGTGTGCCTACTTATCTTGATGTATACTTGTTGTATACTCGTTGTATACTTGTATATATAATACTTTCAAGTTTTTGTATACACTTATATATATAGACCTATATCTATATATATACGTACCTACTCTACACCCCTCCCCCTCACTCCTCTCCCCTGTCTTTCTACGGGATGTTCTACTGTACCTACCTTTCTTTAAATTTCTTATAGATAAAGTCGATATTGACTTCCTACCAACTCCCTCTCCAATCCCCATCTACTTCCTCTCCTCTCCTTCCCTCTCCTCTCTATCCTATTCTCCCACTATTCTTTCCCTACCCCTGTGCTCGTGCTTGAGGTACCTCCTCGCTTATACACAACTTAGACGAGAGGGTAGGGTTATTCACCCCTGAGATAGAGAGGTTGATTCACTCCCTTGTCTCTACTTGTTTTTGTAGTACGGAATCTCGATTGGAGGTAGGGATGTAGGGAGGTATGGAGTTACGGGGGTAGTGATTTCTTTCTTTTCCTTTTATAGGGAATGTTTGTGCCACATGTTGAGTACGTGTTAAGGGCGTGTTATGAGGTAGATGATAGAGATATATGTATATACATTCACCACTTTGCTCCTTCGTTAAATTTCATTGAAGTGTACTGAAGTTCGTTTCTGCTTATCTGATCCTCATAGTCTTAAGATTCTTGATTTACTTAGTTTCGTACACATTACCCAAGTACCTCCTGTAATTCACCAGGCAAGATCACAATAAAGAAATCTGTCGCCATTACACGACGTACGATAGCAAACTATACACAGTGTGTACCTAGGTATATATAATATCCTTGACAACAAACTGGAATTTGAATTCAATATTTATTTATTTATATATCTATATTCCTCTCATCTCCTCTCATCTATCCCCCCTTTCCCCCCCCTCCCCTCTCTTCACATACGAAATCTACTCCCCCTCCCTCCCAGTCCAGAATTATCTATACCTATACCTATACTTATACACTCCCACTCAGACTAAAACTCAAGCTCAAACTCAAAGTCCCTCAAACTCCATACCCATGCAAAACACTTTACTCTCCTAAAAGGACACCACCAAAAAGAGAGAAAAAAAGAGGACTCGCTATGCTATGCAAATGCCACGCTCACTATCACAAAAACAACAAAGAAGTAAAAAGCGCACAGACTGATAGACCGATTCCATCCTTCCATCTCGGTCAGGAGTGGATATACAAAGTAGAAAGACAGGTAATAGAGGATAGAGTCCATGAAGCAAGGGGGAAAAAAGAAGAGCGCCAGAAATAAATGCTTTTAAAGCCACTTTTACTTTGCTTCTCAGCAACACCGGAAAAGGAACTATCTAAAACTCCATCTTTCCAACTGACGAGTAAGTATGATTTGAATCCATTTAGGATACCCGTACTCCAGAATGTACTTCTATCTTTCGACCCAGATAGAGACGCTGGAACGGACGCTAGAACAACAAGGGAAGGTCAGACTGAGTGGTTGGCGAGGTGGTACAGTAATACCAGACAGTGATGAAATCAAATGGGTATCCGGGTATCACTGCATAACACTCTGTCTCCACCTCTCCACCATATCAATCTGTCCCTGATTAAGCGGTTCCTGCATAGCATTCATCCCCATCATAGGATTAGGCTGCATGTTCCCCATCCCACCCATGAAATTCATATTCATGTTCATGCCATTCATCTCCATAGCGGCATATGGATTCGCAAAAGGCATCATGCCCTGCTGTCCATATGGATTATATCCTAGACTCGGTTGAGCGAAAGGAGGCGGTGCGTTGGGGTAGCCGTTATATATATTTGGATACTGCGGCTGTTGTGGCTGAGGAGGTGGTTGAGCAGCACCAGCTTGTCCATCGTTGAACATTCCGTTCTTGAAACCACCTGATGGAGCGCGAGAATTGAGATTGAGCATTGTACTTGAACGCCCGCTTGTATGCATATCATGAAGTCCAAGGAGACCAACTGATGGTTTTTTGGAATGTAGTTGTGTGTTGCCACCAGCTTGAGGATGAGCTTGTAGGATATCGGCCATGCTGTGTCGTTTGTTGACTTTAGGGCTTCCATTGGCTAGAGCTTCGGCTTGGAGACGCTTGCGTCGCTGTCCAAGAGTTTCGTCCTCTGGATTTGGAGCGGGTGATTTTTCCTTTTCTTTGCCTTTGGCCTTTGCATCGATCGGATTACCGCCAAATTGGCTCATCATCTCTGACGCAAAGTCACCACTGATTGTCCGAGGGGCTGGAAGAGCGCCTTCTTTGACTTCCTTCTTTTCCTTGAGACGACGCATTCTTTGCGCAATCGTCTCACCCTCTTCCTCTGATACGTCTTCTCCCTCGGGCGGCAGTATTATTGGGGCTCGAGCAGGAGCAGGTCGTACACCATGTATTCGATCCCTTCTTCGACTCAAAGGTTCATTGTCCTCCATCTCTCGACGTTCCAACAAACCAATTGGACGATTCAATTCCTGAGCTCTCTTTGAATAAAGCACAGCCAAAGGTACATCATCATCGTCACTATCAGCCCCCTCTTCTGGTCGTCTGCTAGCTGGGTCTTCCCATGCCAAATTTACCCTTTTCCTCTGTCTTGACTTCTGCTCTACCTCCTTTACAGCGTCAATCTGGAGAAGAGTTGAGTGCATCCCACTGGTGTAAGCATCCTCTGGTAATTGAGTTCTGAGTTTTTGTTGCTGTTTTCGTAATTGAAGTTCCGCAAGAAGAGTGGTTGGTGGTCCAAAATAAACGTCATCCTCGTCTTCATCACTTGACTCGTCGTCTTCCCCTTCCTGTTCCTCCCCATCAACTTCATCACCACTGGCACGTATAATCTCGTCACCATGTTGAGTACCACTCAATGGCCTAGTTCCATTACTCTTCGTGTCGTCGTCGCCCAAATCAGTTTTGAACATATCAAGACCGGAGAACGTTGAAGAACGCTTCTGTTCTTGATCTGTCAAGAATGTTGCACCGCTCATTCGCTTGCCGCGCAACAAATTAAAAGAGCTGGTTCTTCTCTTGTGCGTGGAGTCAAGCAGCATATGAGAACTGCTAACACTGCTTCGCTTCTTCTGCTCTCCATCCAACAATTGAGCACCATTAATACTATTTCTATTCTTGTGTTTTCCGTAAACCTCAGAGCCAAGATGTCCGGCAAAAGAATGGTCTGTGAAAGCACTCACGGGCGCGTATGCAGACGCGTCAAGAATGCTGTCCAGCGTAGCAACTGCTGACTGTCCCTTCATTTCCACACTCTGAGCAGGAGCTGGGACATCAAAATACGCACTGGCACGTAATTGGGGAGGTATATGGGCAAGATCCTGGGTATTTCTTCGCCCGCCCATTGTAGCTCTCTGGTGTTGTGGTAAATATTCTTGTGCTTGTACTCCTTCATCCGCTGCCAATGTTGGGTGGTCGTCCTCGAGAACATCAGGCAGCCAGATTGCTGATTGTCTGGCAGCCGGAGGAATGCTGCTCATAACCTGAGACCTCCTCTTGTTTCTTGCCATTGATGATGGTTGCTTGGACAACTTTTGCGGTAGGTTAAGCATCATGGGTACAGGTGCTGGATAATAGACCATATTTTGCCCGGTGTTTGGATCCGCATATGATTGTGGTCTCGGCATAGATAATCTATTGCCAGTCGATGCCCTTCTTTGCGAATTATCCGCCATTGTGAGGACATTCCCTGAAGCTGTTCTCATTTGCTGGTTTTGTTGACCTGGTTGAAATGCTTCGGGTTCGTAAGGGTCATCGAACTTGATTTCATGAAAATATTCGCTTTGTGGAGGGGGAGGTGGTGGGAGTGGTTCCGTGTGAACTCCATCGAATCCTTCAAACATTTCAGACTGATCGACGGTGTACGTTGAGGTAGGGCTAGGTGGTCGGTCGTCTTTTGTTTGCTTGCTTCCCTTTGGAGCTATGTCCGAGCGATCAATCTGGTCGACAACTGGCTTTGTGAGGGTGTTGTTATCTTCATCCCTTTCGTCAATGGACCTATTCACAAAAGAATCAAGGGGCCTCCCTTCCATCTCAGGTTCCGGTCGCGTGCCATATCTTGATCCCTTGGAAGCTGATCGCATTCTATTTGTTGTCATTGACCCCTTTGGAGACATCATAAAGCCCGCAGGGGAATATCCACCAGACCTCGCGGTCGAGTTCACATCCACGATGGATGAAGCATTCGACCGGTGCCTCTGCAATCCTGTTCTATCGGGAGCTGAGATCATGGAGGCCTTGCGACTATCGGATCGTTTCTGCTCATCGTGGAGATTCTTGATGGCAACATCAATGGACGAAGTCATGCTCAATCGTTCCGCGGTTCGCTCCAAATGTTCGATATTTTCGGTATAAGCACCTTGCAACGTTTGCAGATCGGGGGTAGGATGTCTTAGAGCGGTACTGACTATCGATGCTGGTGCAGCAGAGGATTTTGCGGGTGCCAGGGGGTTGTCAGCCGTTGTGGCGGATGGACTGATACGATTCCGTGGAATTGGGCGTGCGATGGTTTCGCCAGGTGAGGAACCCTTGTGTTTCTCCCAGGAGAATGTGGGTGAACTCGGCGCATCAATTGCAAAGTCCTCTCCTTCTACGACTCCATAACTGGTCGCTGTGTTCCCTCTCGACCTAATCGCCTGGACAATTGCTCCCAGACCTGAACTCGTTGCTGGCCTCGATGCGCTTGGAGCCTGTCCATTACTGTCCTGGTCCAAAAATAGCCCCCTCGAAGCCGAGATCGGTGGCGCAAATACGGGTGAAGCGACGGGTTCGCGGTGACCACGATTGGGAGATGACGAGGTGATGGATTCGTGGTCAGAATCGTGGTCGTTGTCGGCCTGCTGGAGGGCGCTGTACGGCGCCATGATGGGATTGGGTGTGGTGATGGTTGGGTTTTGGTGTTGTTGCAAACAGAAATATGTTTGGAAACAAACGGGTAAAGATGGGACGGGAAGAGGTTCGTTTCAAGTATCCAAGCAACCGCCTCGACTATTTTAGCTCCTCCAAGGACCACGGTGCTTGCCTCGTCTAGTATGGGGAAGGGGAGGGAAGTGGATGTGGGTGTGGATGTGGTCAGGGGAGTCGCTGGGAGTGGGCACGCGACGATAAATAATGAAATCTTGAGGTCGCCGTCTGCTTCTGCCTCACTGGACCCTGAAGCAACTTGCAGCTCCAGACTGCATTGGGGGGGGTTTCTGGCCCCGCCCTTCTCGTCTATTGTAAATAGATTGGCTGATGTTTGCCAACAGTTGGCCTGGGCAGATGGGTATGGGAATGGGGATGCGAATAGATGGGGATTGCTGCGCTGGTTGGTATTCGGTACAGCAGATTTATTGCAGGCGATAGCACATGCAGTACAGCCACAGAATCAGCAGAACAGAGATAGCAGAGATTGCCTTGCCTATCCACAGCGCAACCACACTCACATTTATGCCTCCATTCACAGTCATCACTCCCCCGGTCTGTTGCTCCCCTTATCTACATGCTTTCTTCGGATTCACTCCCGTATCTAGCAATCTAGCCTTTCCTCAACCTCTCAACACCACAGAGGTCACCGGAAATGCCCTTATTATAGATCTGAGTTTACGGCGCAACTCAATCGCAGATCACCATTCCAAAAGGAGTCTCGTAAATCATGGAATTTATTTACTTATTGGGAGAGAAAGAGTTCAAATCTTCTTACTTGAGCACAAGCGAGACTAGATCACAACAATTCAGGAGCAGCCCATCTCTGACGATGACCCTTTTCCCAATCCAGCCATTCTGATATTGACAAACGCACCGGTCATTTCCCAGGCCAGGGGGTCAGCCGGCCTAATATCACTAGTTTATCGCGGCCTTTGTGAACTGGACAAGCACCGCGCACGCAACATCTGATCCGGTTCTCCTACGTGGACAAAGTCTTCTGGATGATTATCATCGGCTTCGAAACCCGAGAGGCGCCATGGTGTGATGATGAGAACGTATTCATCCCCTCAGCCTCGCTCCGACCAGGACGTACCGGCCTGTACACAGCCCCTACAAGCAAGTAACCTTGAGGCCCGTACGTCATCTCGCCCTCCCTGAATCATGAAACAAACCGACTTTGTCCATCTGACTTGTCGAATTCCCATCATGAACATCCAATTCATCCTCACCATCCACATCACATTCATCCAAGACACGCAAGATCAACATCTTCACTCCATCTTCTGCAAGGCCGTTGAATGCAAAATCTCTTGGCCTCCCAATCTCTCATCTGCAGCTGAACCCTCCACAAGTTACCAATACGATGCAGCAAGATGCCCAGACCGTCCAACATGCAGACAGATCTATTTCTAGCCCAACTGTCTCCGCCCTTCCCGCAGACTTTCAGGCACGAGGAAAATCGAAGAATGAAAACCTGGAAAACCTGGATAACAACAAAAAAAGAAAACATGAGACCAACAATTTCCCGATGAGTCTCCCAACACCAAGGTTACAAGGCCAGAGCTCCCGAAATAAGCAACTTACCGAAATCGGCAAGCTGCTGGGATTTGAAACTCTGCTTTTATCCGTAATCTGTATAAAACATCCAACGAACATACGAGTACAATACTCGTAACCGCATAGCCTCTACCACTCCTTCACCCCAATCCCAAACCTCACTATTCCCACAAATCCTAGACAATTAAACCGTAGTATTATTCCCTGTACAACATCCCCTCTTAATCTCCAGTTACATCTAAAAAAAAATGCGTGGCAACCACGAGAAAGACAGACATCTTGAGCGTTCTCGATTGGCTTGGCGTGTTCACTACATATGTGCGTGTGGGTGTTGTGCTTCGTAGGTACCTGCGTTCAAGACATCGAGAACACGCACTTTTCGATGCTTGTCTTTTGTGTATGTGTACCGTGATGTAAGCACGTGGTGATGTTGTGTTTGGGCGGGTTTTGTGGTGAGATAGGGAGGTTCTTGTGTGAGGTTAGTGGGGTGGGTAGATCTGGGATTCGATTTTATGGCTTAGGTTTTGAAGACTTGGAAGAGAGAGTATAGTTTTTTAGATTCAATGTTCAAGGTAAAGTAAATGGCTCTCTGCGTACAAAGCAAGGTACTTTAAAACGTAGGTACTCGTATACTACTTAGCTAGGCGAACCGCCATGTAACCTTATCTGACCATGACCGTGTAAATGTTCTTTCTAAGTACAGTTTTTCTACCCATCTCCTTCTCTACTATTTTCTTATCCTCTCTTTTTATTCTAGTTGGATATACTTCTGGCCAAGTACATATAAATGGTAAACTAGTAGTACACAAAAAAGTCGTTCAATAGTTCATGAAGCTTTAAGTTAGTTTTCAAAATTACAGTAGATTTTGCCACTTATTCATAGTTCCCCACCCCCGTCTTTCGAGTCCTTGAAATCAGAGGGTCCATTCCCCATGAACCTTTGCTCCCACCGGTTGTGTAGGTGAATTGGGGGGGAGGGGGTGTTGTGGTAAGATCTTGGAATTAAATAGCAGTATTTATAGTAAATGAGGATAGGGTTGCTTAGTAAGCCATGGTAGGATATATATCCTACCCTACTCACTCTACATTCCTTCCTTTAACACTACTACTATATCTACTATATCGTTAGCTATACTATTGTAAGCTCTTTTGTGTGTTCTTTATCTGGTCCTCGATACGATTCCTACAATCTAACAAATCTAACAAGTACGATATATTTGTGTAAGAATAGTGGTAGTACTAGAACAAATGCTTGATTTTCACTCCTTCTTTAAGCTCGATCCTTAACTACCGGCGTACTTGGAACTGGCATCGGTATGTTAGATGTGGGTGGGAATAGTATGTGTATCTGCCAGGCAAGGAGGGCTCTCTGGGTGTGGTTTTAGCCTGAAAAAAGGGTTTCCTATACTTGTTATACAAATGTAAGAGGGGTAGATATTTACAGGGCAGGCGGTAGATATCGGTATTAGGCGGTGGATATGCCTACTAGCTTAGAGAGTTTTATAAGGATAGTCCTTCGTTGTTTCCTTGTCCCCTTTTTTGTCTTATTCTCAGTTTTCCCCCTTGTTTTGTGGCTGCTTGCTTGCGCGCTGCTCAGTACAGCCAAGGGTGCTTATTCTTCGCTTTCCATTTGTATATAGACGAATTATAAGCACTTGAAGCTAGCCAGCAATACAAAAGAAATCCAACAATAAGCGTCATTTGATGTGACGTGTGACGTGTACCGACTGATGAATGAACATAAAGAGACGTTTAAAATGGTCTGGACAGCTCGCGTCTCTTCCCACCTTTCAAATGAAGTGTTAAAGAAAAGCAATCACCTAAAAATACAATTGATCTTCGAAGCCAATTGGATTGTCCGAACTATGTAAGAAGGTACATCAGAGAATGACAACAGGGAAAGCTGAGGGGCAAGCAGTCCACCCTCTTTAGAAGTGAGTGCTACTGAGAGACTGGAAAGGAAACTAGTTTTAGAAGTTTAGGAGTATATGAGAAGGACATTCAATTTCTAAAGAAAATACTGTAAAAGTCAATAATGGCTTAAGAAACTAATCAGACCCCCACAACAATTCAAAGAAGTGCTTGTAATCCCCGTCCTCGAATTCTGCATCGCTGACGAACTTGGTAGGGATAACGTACCTTCTCTTCTCCATATCTACCCAAATATTTCGCTCAACCACAAAATCCAGCCAGTATTCTAAAGTTTTCGGGTACTTTTCTTGCAAACCCCTATCAATAAGCAAGTACTCAGTCAGATCCTCTGGTTCCACTCTATCATAATTATGGCCTTCAATCAACCCGTCTATCTCTCTCTGTATTTGGTCTTCGATTACTTCCACTTGAGTATCCGGGGGCGGTTTTTCCCTCATGATGACTTCCAAAAGTTTCTGCTCAAGAACTTTGTCAACTCGTCTTGCACTTTTGGACCATTCCAAAATGTATCCAAAGCCTATGGCAAGGATCTCGGGTTCTTGGGGGGTCCATGAGGATATGAATTCTGCTATCCCTTTCCCTATAACGGTATGTGGCATAGATTGTGATAAGCGACGTAGAAGCTCGCCTACCGGGAGTTTGAGGAGAATGATATTTTCCTCCCTTCTTTTATACGCAGGTGTGGTGACCCTCTCTAAGAATTTACCATAGGAATCTCTTAATGTTCCCTGGGTGAAAATCGCGTATACTTCTTGATTCATATCCAATTTATTCTTGGTCAGCTTTTGCAAAATCTCCAGAATCCTTCTTTCCATTCCTTTGACATAAGCGATAATTTGCTGATGTCCAGGGAGTTTCCAATATAATGATATAAGGAGTTCGAGAATTGTAGTATTGTGGGATACCGAGATAGGCGGGTGGCTATATTGGGGCTCACAACCTTGGGAGAGCAGGAATTCAATTATTTTCAGCCATTCATCTACAAGAGCTTCAAGCTGGTCCCAATCATGTATGTAAAAATGCTGGAGACCTGCAACTGCGCTTTTAAAAACATAGGCCTTACAATTTGCCGTGTACATATCTGGTTGTCGAAAAGATATGGAGACAAAGTCGTGTAGACAGTCTGTCGCCATCCCAAGAAGGACATCTAAACGCCCCCCTCCTTCAAAACAGTGCCTAGGCATATTTTCCAGGATCGAATGCCAGAATCCCACCCATGTTAGTTTTGTGGTCCCTGGAAGTTTTAGATAGCTGTAACGAAGTTCGCGAGGCCAGTCAATTGTGAAAGTGGGGGAAATAGAGTGAAACTTTTGGTCGCCATTTTACTTTGGTGAATCGAAAGTCCAGCATTGAAGAAGCCATGAATGTATAATAGAAGCCAAACGCAGATCTTTATAGATCTTGTGTTTCTTAAGGATGCTTCGGCCTTCTGCCGTTCCGCAAAGGAACTCTTTCGCTGTACGATGTATGAAGCCAATTTCCATGTCAGGGTACAAAAACTCATGTCCCGGATGTGGCGTTTTGTCTGAGCCTTTATATGTGAATTCAAGCAATCCAGCACAACGAGTTTTTACACCATGGTAATGGGTCTGACAATGGGCACCTATTGACTGCAGTGGAGAAACAAGCAATGCTCGATCTCGCTCAAAAGTGTCAATAACCTCCCGTGCTATGGAAATATGACCTAGGGTAGGTTCAAATGATTCATCACGGAATTTACCACGGTCATAACTGCCGAGATGTTGGTCACTGTAATCGATAACGAGGTTGAAGTAAAGTACAGCTTCAGCCGTATATAACTCTTCATCGTCATTAAGACGCTTCCACATTGAATCATAAAGATTCTCCAGGTCTTTGGGCATTGCCTCGAGCCGCTTTTGAGTGATTTCCGCATTATCCATATTAGACTTTGCTCGTTCAAGACTTTTGATAGCCAGATGTGCCCAGAGAAAAACACCCTCGTATTTTTCAACAATTGTTTCAGCGAGGAGCTGGCCTGGATTAGGACAAAAACATGCCCGTCTCTGATGTGACCCTCTGTCGTCTTGTGAAAGCCTGAGTGGGTCCTGGGAAGCGAACTCTGCTATTTGGCTCAGAGCATATCGGTATATATCGGGTGCGGTGAGATGGTGTAAGCGAAGGGATGGGTGCGACCCAAACTCTTTCTTGAACACAACTTCTTCTCGACTTGAAACGCACAGTTTGATGTTTCCGGTGCAGATGGAGCACATATTTCGGATAAGCTTCAATAACTTAGCAGCTCCGTCATCAGGATATATCTCATCAAGGCCATCAAGAAAGATACACAGCCGCTGTGTTTGTGATAAAACCCGTAACATGTCAAATAAAGAACTCCGAAGTTCTTTCTCAGACCAGTCGGTATCATACCTTTTATTCACTGCGGATGGAATTTGTCTCAAAAGATGGGCTATGAGCTCGTCCCCCTTCCTGCCGCTTTCTAGAAGCTGATGATATTATTATTATTATTATTATTATTTTTATTCCTTTTAACTTGCTGTGTGAGTCTGAGACTATAGTAGCACGGCTGAGGGTTTCCCTCTAACAGATGAGTAAAGCTGTACTAAATACATGTTTGAGAAGGGGGTTATGGTGAATACAGTTCTTGGGTTGTTGGAAGCAGCTAGGCTTCTGGTTATGACAGAAGAAAAGTTGTTATGCTGTAGTACACCCCCGCGTTTCACGCCCTGTACACTACACTTCCTCGTCCTCGTCTTCCTCGTCCTCATCTTCGTTCTCATCCTCAGTTGCGCGTTGTGTGTGCCATATTCTAGTGGCGATTTTGGTGGTTCGAATAAAGTCAAGTGTGGCCTCGACTCCTTTGGCGGTGTGAAGGAGGGATTTCATGGTGAACTCTCGAATATGATGCTTGAGGAGGTTGCGCTTTAGTACTTTCCTAGCATCCCCAGTTTCTGGACAGCTAAGAAGGAGGTGAGTGGGAGTCTCTTGTCTTCCACATCTACAGCGGTTGTTGGTAGTGTGGCCGAGCTTGTGTAGGTATGATTTGAAGTATCCATGGCCTAGCTTAAGCTGATAAAAGGCGCTGGCTATCTCTCTTTTTGTTCCTTGGGGGACGCAAGGTTTCGACAGAATCTTCCATGGGAATTCCCTTCGATACGAGTGTTGGTTAGTTGATGGTTCTGTGTGCCGGGGGGGTGTAGTAAGCTTTTGACGCCATTCTTTGTTCTGGGTCTGCCTGATCTTGACTCCTAGCATAGCAAAGCTAGTGAGTTGAGTGGATGGTTGGATTGTGGTGGCGGCTTTTGCAAGCTTGTCTGCTTTCTCATTTCCTGGAATGTCGGTGTGACCTGGTACCCAGTGAATTGTGGTAGTAGCTCCCTTGCTAACTGCCTTCCGGGCAGCTGTGATAGCTCTGATTTGGCACTCTTGCCCTGGGTTATCTGATGTGGTTTTTAGCCTTCGTAGACCTGCCTGGTTGTCCGAGTAGATGTGGAAATGGATCCCTGGTCTAGCGTGCTTGGCAGCGTATTCAACTGCTAGCGTGGCCCCTTCAACTTCACCGTTGTAGACGAGCTTGTTTGGTCCAATGNNNGGAAATGGATCCCTGGTCTAGCGTGCTTGGCAGCGTATTCAACTGCTAGCGTGGCCCCTTCAACTTCACCGTTGTAGACGAGCTTGTTTGGTCCAATGTTGACTTTCTTTTCGTAGTGAATTCTGTTTGATTGAGGTGAGATTACAGACAAACCTACCCCAATTCCTTGGCTATTTTCTGTTGTTGTAGAGGATGCATCTGTGTAGATGAAAATGCTGTTATCTGAGTTGTTTTGGAGTAGACGAAGGTGAAATTTAGTTTCCTCTTCTTTTGAAAGTTTGCTAATGTGAACCTTGTAAAGAGTTTCTCTTTCCCATGGAGGGAAGTGGAAGTGGTGTATTTGCTCAAGGTCTTCAAGTTTGTATAAGTTGCTAATAGAGCGGTGGATTCGCTGTAGTTGAGGAGTTTCCGGCTTCTTTTTCCTTGGAGTTGCTTGAGTATTGAGGAGCTTGTCGATAGCGTGGTTGACTGGGTGTGATGGTGAGAGTTTGAGTAGACGGAAAGTATACATCCTCAAGGAGGAGGAGAGGCGAACTTCAGGAGGTGGGAGGGCGCTTTCTATTTCCATTGGGAGGATAGGAGTGGTTTTGAAAACCCCTAATATCTTTTTAATTGGAAGGTTTTGGAGTTTTTGAAGTAGAGTAGTGAATTGTGCTTGGCCTCGCCACCAGATGGTTGACCCATAGTCTGCGATACTTGTAACGCATGCTGTGTACAGCTGCCGGAGGGCAAAGGGTGTGAGTCCTTTGGAGTTGTTTGCTAGCCTTGACATCCTGAAAAATACGCCTCTAGCTTTTGCTACCTTGGTAGCGACGTGGTGCTTAAAAGATAGTGCTGGGTCAAAGTAGATGCCTAACCACTTAAT